AGACTGATTGTGACACAGTTTGTAAAACACTGCCTCAATATTGACCCTGAATCTCCCCTCCTCTGTGATAAACTCTATTCAGGGTGGGATTAAGATGTTCAGAGACCTTAAACTCTGAAAAAATAACAGATAAATGGCCTGCTTATAGAATGGAAATAGAGTCAATAGGAAGCTGCTGTGGACAGTGTGTGAAGGACCAGGGGAAGCAGAAGCCTGGAGAGGCAGGATGGAGGGCTGCCACACAGAGGAGTTGGATTATTCTTATAGGCATCCAGAATCACTGGAATGTGGTTTTTGTGTGTGTGTTTGGGCAAGGGAATTGAACCCAGGGGCACTTTACCACTGAGCTACAACTACAGCCTTTTTATTTTTAATTTTGAGACAAAGTCTTGCTAAGTTGCTGAGGATGACCTCAAACTTGAAATCCTCTTGCTTCAGCCTTCTGGGTCTTGGATTATAGGTGTGTATCACCTCACCCAGCTCACTGGATGTTTTTAAGATGAGGAAGAGCACACTCAGTGGTGTTTTATAAAGATATCTGGGGCACCAGTGAGAATACATAGGCAACGCTAAGTTAGGGAGAATCAGGAAGCTCTTTGGGGCATACTGGGTGAGAGATGATAAAGGAAGCCATCATTAAAGAAATAGCCAGGAGAGTAGGGGGCATAGAGAAGACAAACACAAGGAACATTGAAGAATAAATCAATAGGACTCACGGGCTCAGGTTTTTAGCTCAAGTGACTAGGTCAATATGATGCTGCTTACCGAGGTATGTACAGAAGAGGTTTGTTGGGGAAAAATTGTTCACCTTTGGAATGAATTTGAGATGGCTATGTGGAAAATTTCAGGATGGAAATGTAGCTGTCATTCTTTCATTTATTCAGTAAATATTTGTGAGACTGACATAGAGAAACATTTCACCAAATGGAAACATTAGAGAAATAAACTAACATTCACTATCACCAAAATTTTGAAAAAGATAAATTTTATCACCAAAAGTTGGAAGGGCAGCTAGGTATAGTGGTGCATGCCTGTAATCCCAGTTACTCAGGAGTCTGAGGCAAGAGGATGGCAAGTTTGAGACTAGCCTGGGCAACTCAGCAAGACCCTGTCTTAAAATTAAAAAAAAAAAAAAACAAACAAATATTGGGGATGGTGTAGGGTGCAATTTAGTGAGGCCCTAAGCAACTTAGGGAAATCCTGTCTCTAATTGAAATATAAAAAGGGCTGGGGATGTAGCTCACTGGTTAAGTATGCTTGGGTTTAATCCTCAGTACCAAAAAGTGAGGGTGGTGGTTATGGATATATCTCAGTGGTAGAACACACCTGGGTTCAATCCCCAGTACCAAAAACAAAAGAGAGGGGGGGGGGACAGGAAGGGCATAATCTCAGAATGAAGGACAGTTGTTTATAATTGAATAGATTTAGATTGTTGAAACACCCTCTTAGGCAAGCTTTTCTCATTTCACTATGACCCATTTAAAGTGTCACTGTGTTTCAATCTGATCTGGAAACAGCCATTTCAGAACCACTGATTTGAGAAATGAGCAGAGAAAGAGAGGTCAAGACTGTAAGGTTCAATCTCCAGCACCAAAAGCAGGGGAGGGAAGGGGGAAGAGGGGTGGGAGGGAGAGAAAGGGGGAGGGGGGGAGGGGAGGAGGAGGGGGAGGGGGAGAGAGAGAGAGAGAGAGAGAGAGAGAGAGAGAATATGACTGAGAATGAAAGAATATTTAGTTCAAGGAATGGTTCCAGAGATAGGAGGAAAACAAGCAGAGTGTGATCATGGAAGTCAAAAGAGGAAGGAGAGTTTCAGAAATGAGAGTGCTCGACCAACAGTGTCTTTTGCTATCCAGAGTTCAATAAGGTCATTGGATTTGGCAATTAGGAGGTTATTGGTGACTTTTGGCAGTGCTCTTTCACTGGGTGATGGGACTGGGGCCAAACTGGTTGAAGTGTGAATGGGAAGCTGGAGAATGTTGAAGTCTAGGCTGTAGAGTCTACTTTAAACAAACTTGAGGGTGAAGGAAAGGTAAGAGAGAGAAGGCAGGAGGGAGAGGAAAAAAAGTTTGAGAGAAAAAGAAATTTAGGGAAGCAAGAGAACACATGTGGGGAGGGGAGGGCGCTTGATTTTGGAGGTAAGAGAGTCAGGTATTTTATACTCAGAAGAGAAAGTGGTGGTATAGGGCAGCTGAACTTTCCTAAAGGGAAAGAGCATAGTGTCTGAGGAAGGGCCCAGAAAAGGAGGGTGGATGAGCCAAGGCCCAGGTGAAGGGATTAGCCTTTAACGAAAGGGGCACCTTGTCCTCTAAGAAGAGAGGGCTGGAGGGGAAGGAAGTTGAAGAGAGTCCAATTGCAGGTGGGGGGGCAGGGCACTGAGGTGATTCATGCTTGAAGGGCTCTGTTTTCTCAGGGAAGTATGAGCAGAGGTTGTTCCTAGCAGGGAGAGGTGCGGGGTAAGAACATGGTAGGCAACTGAAAAAGTTTAGAATGTGGCCCAGGGAAACGTGGAGGGTGGAGCAGGGGAGTTGACAAGGGAACATGCTTGAGGATTGTCTGAGAGATATCAGCCATGCATAGGCAGGCCAAGTTTTGTCTTCCCCAAGCAGCATTGGTCTACCCCTCTAGGCTGTGAGGCAGGGCCCACAGCACCTTCCTCTTTCTAGTCCATCCCCTTGTTAAGCAATGTCCAGCAAAGTGGCCCCAAGGAGGCACCCAGTCCTCTCAGAAAGGCCTGACAAAGCCCAGAATAACTATAAGGCTTTTAGAGAAAACAAGAAGCAAGATCTTAATTGCCCTGATAGGAAGTTCTCCATTTTAGTTGATCTAGGCATTTCCTGCTCCCCTGCTGACCACCTTAATTTTGTTCTCTGCTAAATGTGAAAGAGAATGGCCTGGCTCCCATTTTTGCCTAGCAACAGACCTTTAATCCTACAGGCTGGGGAGAAGCCAATAAGAGGGTTCAGTGGCTTCATGTCCCACACCTGAATGAGACTATGGCAATTCTTAGGAGGCAGCGAGACATAGCAGTTGTGTAAGGAGAATAAACAGCCATGAAAACAGGACTGAAGGTTCCCTGGACTCTGGGAGAGCATGCTGGGAGTAAGACGTAAGAGGAACCCTGAGGCCTCCTGCTCAAGGAAGTGAAAGGAGTGGCCGAAGGAACACAAGTTCAAGGTGGAAGGTGGCATGTGTTGCACAACTAAGTCTAGTTCATCAGTATTACAGGGCTCAGGAGAAATGTTTATGTGTTCCTCCTGCCTGTTGTCAGAGGCCACCTAGAGGTCAAAAAAATTCCAGGGTGTTACAATATTTCTTGAGCTTCTTTCTTCTGCACATGCTATCTACACAGCGCCCAGTCTCTTTAGCGTCACTTCTCTCAGCCTCACTTCTCATTTCAGCCAGTGATGCAGTACAAGCAAATTTCCATCTCTTGGAAGTTAATTCAGCCAGAATTTTCAGAGACCGGTAGAAGCTGGAGCTCCCCAGAAGCCCTTCCTTCCCCTCCAGGATTCCCCTCTTCAGAATCCAGGGTCTAGCATACACTTTCAGGAACAGAGAGCTCTCCCCCCAGCCCTAGGCAGTGCACTCATTTCATCTCATAGAATAAAACTGTTGAGGGCTGGTACAGTGCCAGGGCCTTGGGTTAGATAGTGACTGAGCTGTTAGAAAGTTTCCCTTCGATTGAGCCAAAATGTGTCTCCCTGTAGCTTCCATCCTTGGGCCACAGCCTTGACCTTTTAATTCACTTAGAACACGTGTAAACTCATTCAAGTATTTGAAAATGGCTGTTGTTTCCCCCAAGAATATTCTTTCTGCCACAGATAAGCATTTTTTCTTTCAATTGGTTTTTGTCATTACTTTTTTTTTTTTTTGATACCAGGGACTGAACCCAGGGAAGCCTAACCACTGAGCAACATCCCCCCTCCTTTTTCTTAAATTTTGAGACAGGGTCTCCCTAAGTTGCTTAGGCTGAGGCTGGCTTTGAACTTGCAATCCTCCTGCCTAGGCTTTCTGAGCTACTGGGATTATGGGTATACACTACTGTGCCCACCTGTCTTTACTTTTAAGAGCAGTTTGGTTGTGTATCTTTCTTGAAAATCCAGGAATGCATATAGAAGGAAGTAGCAATCTGCCATATTCTTCCTCTCAGAACCAACAACTGTAACATTCTTTCTTGTAACCAGTCTTTTTTCCTCTGCATACTGTGCATTCTACACTGTTTTCCAACCAAAATGGAATCCTTCTCTACATAATATTTTAGAAGATTATGTTTTTTCACTCTTGAATGTATTAACTTTCCCCTCATTCTTCTACTAGGCTAATTTTCATATGAAATTCTTTAACTGTTTAATAATTGATTTAACTTACTTTGTCAGGCAAGACACTTAGGTTGTTTTCAATTTTTCTTTACTACAAAGAACACTGGAATTTGAAGTGGGATGGGGTAGGGAGTAGGTGAATGCAGAAAGACGAGCCCTTGAATCAATTAGTCATATGACTTTAGCATCTAATTTTTTTCCATTTTCAATGTTTATAATTATACTTCCTAGAACACGACCATGAATGCCTGCTTAGTATTTGGTTGCAAAGATTTACCCAAATTAATATAACTGGTTTCCTATTATTGGACACTGAGACAGTTTCTAATTTTTGATGATTACAAACCAGGCTGTGATGAATATCCAAGAAGCTAAATCTGTGCTGGTGCTGGACACTGAGGTCAGTAGGGATATTTTCAAGACCTCTAAAGAATAAGGTGCCTGCCAGTAGTTGTAACTGGAAGCTTTTTGGCAAAGACCCAGAAGGCTGGCTAAGGCCAAGGACTGTGGTCAAGCCTCTGGGCTTGCCTGAGGTCAGTACCCATTACCCAGCTCCCATCACATAGTGTTCATGTTGGCAGGGACCTTGGGGACCACTGGGCTGGCAGCCTTATCTCACACGTGAGAGAATGGAGGCCTGGGCTGGTCCTTCGACAGCTTAGCACTGGGCAGAACTCTGCTTCACCCCAGCCCTGGCTCCTGAATGGAAAGCTGTGATCTGCTTTCAGATTTGGAATCCGCCCCAGAGGCCCCAGGAACTCCTGCCTGCTGTCCTTCACTGGACCATTTACTGCTAAGGCTGGAAAGAGAGGACTCAGGCACTTTCGCAAATGAACTGAGCAGCAAGGGGGTGGAGGGTGTTGAAAGAAGATTGGAGGGCTACCCCATAGGCAACTGGGCCTGCTCCACCCAGAATCCCCCTTTTTTTCCCCTAACCAGGTGATAGGCTTAGTGGCAGTCATCCTATGTAAGGTCCATCTGACAAATCTATTTGGGGTTTAAGCTGAAATAGCAGGTGAGTCCCTCCCTTTCCTTAGAGGGGTCAGCTGTTTGTACTGGGAACCAGCTTTGCTAAAAAGGCCTGTCTATCCTGCCCTCTGTCCCCAACAGCTCTCTGTGGTTTTGGGTGCTAATGAGCTCTCCTCCCTCCCTGCTTGGGCCTTGCTCTGGGCTGGGGAATTCACACAAATGGTGTGCAATTTGTCCCTTCTGGGTTTTCCTTTCTGACTTGGAGCTAAAGCAAACCCCTCAACCCCCACTGACACCTTGTTTATTCAACTGGGAGAGATTTAACACCCAGGAACCCAGCTCCCCTCTCTGAGCTCCTTTCCCAAATCTTCATCCCCCTCCCAAGCCCCCAGCCCTGCACTCCCTGAATAATTTATAAGTCTAGGCAGGGCTTATAAAAGGGTCTCCAGAGAAAGACCAATAGTGTGTAGAAAGTTCTGAGAAGTAGGAGAGCCCACTACCTGCCTGACCTTGGTGTCCTAAGGATGGACCCTGCTGCTCCTGCTGCTGTGGTGCCTGTCCCAGACCTGGCCTTGGCCCTACCACCAGTTTCCCAGGAACTCCCTGGCCTGTTACACCCATCACCCCTTCTCTCTTCTGGACAAGAAATACCTGGGAGTGAAAGGTAAGTGGAACTTGGCATTTGGCAACCTGAACTCAGGCTTAGGGGGTTTCTAGGAGAGAAGGGAGATAAGCTATTGGAGCACCTCTGCTCTGTAAAGGGGAGAGGCAATGGCCTCACAACCCCTGCTTCACATCTCTGGCCTGGAATATTTCATTTGGCTTTTCACTTCACTAATGCTTCCAGGTGGCAGGAGGGGATTGGGGGACAGTGGGCATGCCAAAGCTGAAGGTCAAGCAGCCAGGTCCTTGTAGGCCAGGTGTAGAGTCCACTGAGTGGCACTGGGCCTAACATGCCTAGACTGTGGCTGAGGATGTAGGGAAAGAGCCAACATCTAAAGAAGCTTTTGACTGGGGAAATTGTCTTTTCCACAAACATACCATATGACTCTCATCTGCTTTTTTTCTACCTCTGTAAGTCCAGTGGGGAAACAATGGGCCTGGGAATATTTCTGGTTCCTTCCCCCAGCCCAGGAAGATGGTAGTGTTCTGAGCTCTACTTCTTGGAGCAGGAGGTAGGAGGCAAAATAGTTTCCTCCCAACCCTCATTTACTCCTCCAAATATTTCACATTCAACAAACATTTACTAAAGCACCTATTATGTCCCAGGCATTGTGCTAGGTGTTGAGAATTTAGATATGATCAAACATCTCATTGAGCCTAAGAAACTCAACATCAACTGATCTCTTTTTTCTCCTAGAGGAGCTTGTCTTTGGAGGCCCTGGCTGTCCTCCACAAATGACCCCCCAAAACAGGTGAGGAAGTTGGTGGATTGGGTGAGTTTGGGTCCTTGTGATATATCTTTATAGGCACATGCAGCCACATTCATTCACACTGGCCAAGTCCCTTCCCAGAGAGCTCCTGACCTCAGTCCAAGGCTGCAAATCTGAGAGCACATCCTTATGGCTTTGCTAACATTTGAATTCCACAGCAGCTCTGGGAGGCCCAAGATTTCCATGGCCAATGGAAAAATGAAGAGACTTAGGCTCAGAGTGGGAAAAATGTTTGGGAAGGCCCCATAGCCAGTGTGCAGCAGAGCTGGTGCCCAAATCCCAGTCCCCTGGCACAATGCCCTAGTATTCTCCCACCCTACCTCCCTGAATCTTGGCTGCTCCAGTAGAACTCTGCTCCCTGGACAGCCTCCAAACAGGTGTTAGAACAGGGGCGGGAAAGCAAACAACCCCAGGACTCTGTCCATTTGTTTTTCAACCAGAACCAGGACAGACCCACTTGTTGTAGGTCAGGGGGCTGGGGAAGTAGACCCTGGAAACGTCTTAAGATCTCTTCCAGATTGTCCTACCTGCAGATTTCTGACTTCTGATATGGGGGAGGCAGTTATCTGGCCATGCACTTTGAGCCACATGCTAGCTTTTGCTTTGGACAGGCTGCTGGTGGGGTAACGGCCGCTGAGGCCACCAAGGCTGACTCTGAATTCCATCACCCCGTCAGGTAAGCTTCTGGCACCAAGCTTAGAACTTGATATAGATACATTAGCTGTCTAAATCCTCACAACAGTCCTGAGAAGCAGGAGGAAGGGGGCATTTGTATGATCGTTTCACAGTCAAGGAAACTAAGCCCAGAGAGGTTAAGGGACTTTCTTGGCCAAGGTTGCTTTCCCAGGAGGCATTGTCACTGTTCCCTAAGGATGAGCCCCTGTACACACAGCAGTGAAGGAATCTATAATAAAAAAGATGGGAAGCACAGCGATAGAGATTTCTTGGCTAGAAGTCTCCTGGGAAGGGGAGTAGGGTAAGGGCTAGAACTGATAGATGTGGGGCTAGGTCCTCCCACAGCTGTAGGTCCACCAAAGGTGACCTTCTTGCCAGGGTCATTTTGTAACAGTTCAAAAACTTCTATTACAAAGCTTTCTTTCAACCTTTCCCTCTCACCCCATTAATCCAGTTAAGAGAAGGGGTTTAGGGGCTGGCTTCCTTCTTGGCCCTACTGGTGCCTCTGTATACTCAACTAGTCTACATTTGAGGCCATGTTTCTTCTCTGCCCACAGGCTCTTCTGGCCGAAATCACGCTCCTTTGACTACCTGTATAGTGCTGGGGAAATTTTACTGCAGAATTTCCCTGTTCAGGCCACTATCAACCTATATGAGGATTCTGACAGTGAAGACGAAGAAGAAGAGGAGGAGGAGGAGGATGAAGAGGAGAAAGAGGAGGCTAATAAAAAGGGGCCAGAAGGGTGTGTGAGAGTACCAGGGCCTGCACCACACAGGGCCACAGCTCCTCCTGTCCAAACTGAAGCAGTCACTGATTGGCAAGTTTCCAATGGCCTTTCCAAGGGACAGCTTTCTGGACTAAAAACTGGGTCCTCAAGCTGCCCAGCTCATCCTGGCTTACCCAACTAGCTAGTGAACTCAGGCCCCTGGCATGTCATTGTCTGGGCTGATGACAGGATTCCTAGGAGCTCTAGGGAAAGGAAAACCTGTTTCTGAAGCCCCCAGGAAGCAGAGCAGGGCAGGGCATGCCCTTGTGGAGGAGAACAGCCACTTCTCAGGGCCTTTGACAACCAAGCCTTCCCAGGTGGCCACATAAGTCCAGTCTCTCCCATGGGAAGCCTGACTTCTGACTTTACCTCCAGGGACACCAATACCAAATCCAAGCAAATTTGGGGCACCTTTCTGATGAGTCTTGTAGGAAGACAAGGAGGCATCTAGAGAATCAGCTTGCTCTGGGGACTCCTTCCCCCATTTTGCTTGCTCTCCATTGAAATCTGAGTGTTGGCATGAGATGAATCAGGAGAAAAATAAACTACATGATGTTTGCCTTTTTCTTGGAACTGTGCTGATTTCTTAACTGAACTCTGCCCATGTTGTGAAGCCATGAGTGGAGGGTCAGAGACCAGCTCAAGGCCAATTCATTGTTCTACCTGAGGTCAGTTGACAGATTTTTCTCCTTTGGGATGTAGGGCTAGGGACCCAGCATGGTGCCAAGGCTTCTCAATTTGTGAAATCAGGCTTGATTAAATTTCTAGGATAGTTTAGAAAGCCCTCAAAGGGTAGCCTGAAAGTTGGGAGTAGGGGATGGGCTTCAGGGGAAGGAGGGAGTGTTGGAAATGGCTGTGCATGTGTGAGGAGGGGCATTTGGGGGGCTACTAAGTCCTGTCCTGTCGATTTTTTTAGGCACCAAGGATTGAACCCAGAGGCACTAACCACGGAGTGACAACCCCAGTCCTTTTTCTATTTCATTTAGAGACAGGGTCTCACTGAGTTGCTTAGGGCCTTGCTAAATTGCTGAGGTTGGTTTTGAACTCACAATTCTCCTGCTTCAGCCTCCCAAGCCACTGGGATTACAGGTGTGTGTCACCATGCCTGGCCTATCCTGTCAATTTTCTGTCCTTAGTTCCCTTTGTGTCCACCACAGCTCAGGCCTTGTTGTTGACCTTGCCCCAGTTCCTCTTCAGCTAATTTTTTTGCCTCCAGCATGTCCTTTGCAATTTGTTTTCTGAACTGGCTATCGAACCAGGCCAGGTCATGTCCTTACTTCACCAATAGCTAGGCTTATGGTTGTTCTGTTTGGTTTAGGTTTTCTGTTTGTTTTTGATCACAGAATCCCTTGGAAATCTAGGGCTTCCCTACCCAGAAAAAATACATGTGTATACACACATTCAATGCTATGTATTTCCAAATCAAGTCCTTAATGTAATATTCTAAGGTTTTCAATTATCTGGATTTGCCTCTCTTGCTTATTTACTTGTTTTGCAGAACTAGGGATTGAACTCAGGGCTTCACATATGCTAGGCAAATGTTATATCACTAAACTATATCCCAAGCCCAGATTTCTGTCTCTTTAGATTCATCTCTCAACTCTTGCAATTTACACTGTGTCCTTCAATATGGCATACTTTCTAACGTCTTTGTGGCTTTAAACTTCTGTCTGCAATGCCTTTTCACTTTTGCATATCTTGTACTCCCATCCCTGCTATATGACTAGTCCACCGACCACTCCTATGAGAAGCCACTCCAAGCAGACTGACCCCCGCCACTCAGTGCCTCTCCTACCATAGCACCTGCCTCCTTTCCTATCCTATGCGTAAGATATAGCAGGGTTTGATATCCCCATATGACTTCATAGCACAGCACAATGACAGGCACAAAGGAGTTGCTTAGGAAATGCTGAAAGTCAAAATTCTCAAGTCTTCTTAAAGCAGCTCTTGGTAGAACCAACATCCATTTACTTGCCTGTTTCCCTATATCTTAGCTACAAAGAGGACAGGATAACATCTTATTGAGAGGCAGAACGAGGCTATTTTTCTTTCCCCTCCTTTTTCAAACTGAGATAATCAGCTTCAGTTCTGAGCTATAGTTGGGACTTTGCCAATTTAGATAGAGCCTTGAGCTGGCCAACAAACTCACACACTGGTGCCATCTATTGGTCAAAATTTAACCTTGTTCTTTAATTAAAGCTGCTAGTTGATCTTTGACCACTTTAATCCTTTTATTCCATTCTGTTTCTGCTTTTAAGTAAAATGGAAACTACCATGTGCTTGTTGTATGACCTTGGGCAAGTTACTTATCCACTCTGAGCCCTCTCTTCATTGGTATAATGAGGATAATAATGTTACTTCCTCTCAGAGTCATTGTGAGGATTCAACGAGATAATATGTAAAATGTATTTAGTCTGGGACCTGGCACATAGGAAAACCATCCAGTAGGTGATACTAGTCATAATAATAGTAGTTGTGGTAGCTGATATTATTAATTTTATAAAAGAAATGAGAGTATAGGCTTGAGTCAACTAATGACTGATTTATTAAGTACCATTTGATTGTCTAACCAGTCAAAACATCTTTGCAGTGTTCATCTCCATTAAAAACAAACAAACAAACAAAAAACCCAAAAGTTAAATGACAGAGGTCAAGTACTGTTTCCTGGACCACTCTTGACATTCAAATGGCAGCCCACAGGTTTTGGGATCCTATCCTAAGACAGCGGTTTTCAAACCTATTTTCATGCTTTTACAGGAAACCCTTTCTTTGGAATTGTGTTTTGAATCAAGCGCAGAAGCCTAATATATAAGTCAGATTAAATGGGGCTGCCCTGGGGAAGCCAGAATCCCTGCCCTAGTGTCCTCCACTCTCCTTTAAACTCTCTCCCACTTATTTATTTATTTTTGTAGTACTAGGGATTGAACCCAGGGACACTCTACCACTAAGCTGCATTTCCAGTCCTTTAATGTTTTTTTTTGTTTTATTTATTTATTTATTTTTTACATTTTACTTGTAGCAAGGATTACTATCAAACTCCACTCATCGGGTCAGAATGGAGTATTAGCAAAAAACTTGCCCCTCATGTAGCATACTACCTATACTTGCAAGTACATTTTATGTTTTAATTTTAAGACAGGGTCTTGCTAAGTTGCTGATGGTCTCACAAAATTCCTGAGGCTGACCTGAAACTTGCCATCCTCCTGCCTTAGCCTCCAGATTCACTGGAATCTCCACCCTCTTTTGTGAAGCACTATTAGGAATCCCCAGATTGTGGGGAAGACAGTCATGAAACCACTGTCATAAGGGTTAAAATCAAGAATGATATGAAGCTGAGGGGGGATTAATTAGTATTTTAACATGACCAGTGTTCCGTTTAAAATCCTTGTTTTGGGTCCTATATTTTAGGCCCTATTTGGTTAAAATCCTTTGTTTTGGGTTCTATTTTCATATCTCAAAAATTGCTTGAGTCCTTATACCATAGGTTATAGGGATTTAAAATCCTTGGAATCCCAATATCCTTGGTTTTAAAGTATTATATAGCATAGAATTACAAATCCCAAAATCCCCAGAGGTTTAAAGACCCTAAAACCCTTGGAACAGTAATTCTTAACTCAGAATGAGCTCTTCTCACTCCCCCACACCTCCCACTTACTGTGCATGTGCTGTTGTTTACTAAGTAGACATTTTGTCTCACTTTCCTTCCGGTACCATGTCCTGAAATGGCTTCCAATCCTCCTCCCCTCCACATGGTTGCTAAGTGATTGGAACTCACCATTCGGACTAATCAGAGCCCAGTGTGAGTTACTTTGATATTAGTGTATTCAACTCCCATGCACAATTGTAGGGAAAAAAATCTTGTTCAAAACCCAGAGTCCCAGAGTCCTTCCTCCAACTCTGCTCAGCTGTCCCATCCCAGTGTCACACAATACCTTTCCACCCAACCACTGATTGCCTCCTTTCCCCAACCACATAGCAACAGAGAGGGCATATCTGTTGAGAGTGAAGTTGCATTTGAACCGGACCTTGAAGGATGGACATGGTTATAGATGGAGAGAGAAAACTTCCCAAGAAAAGGAGTACCTCTTCATTTACTAAGCACTACTATATGCCCAGTGTTAATATTGTAGTGATTAAGAGCATGATCTTTGGAAGCAGATGTACCTGGTTTCAAATTCCATATTTCTCACCTGTTGATTCTAATCATTAGCCTATGCCCCTGGAGTGTTAAGTTCAGCTTTCTGCTCTTAATCTCACTGCAATCTCTGTAGTTCTTTATTATATCTACCGCCACCTCACCCCACACAAGTTCATTAAAATAGTTGCCTATTCTCTGCCTCTGTGCACAGAATGTCCCCTACTCATACTTCTGTTACCAACTCCGCTTCTCACCCCTTCCCCACAACTGTACCTGTGTGGTTGTGTATCAGGTAGATATGTTATCTCCTTTCTTTGCCAGTCCTATCTTGTAAAATGGTGGCCGATCTTTTTCCCAAACACGTTGTTATGTGGCTTGAGTTGACTGTTTTGACCTGTTAGGAGCCTGGTGTTGGTTACTGTGTTTTTGTTTTACCCCCAGTTGGCATGGCTTGTAGCAGCCTCCATGCAAATGTGCAAACCCAGGTACAAAAAAATCCAATAAGGAAGGCTGGGAGTACGGCTCAGTGGTAAAGCTCTTGCCTGGCAGGCATGAAACCCTCGTTCAATCCTAAGTACTGCCAAACACACACACACATACACACACACACACATCCTAACAAAAACTTAAGCAAAGAGTAAATAAATGCTCAGTGAGTGAGAGTTATAGCACTCACTCTGCCAGGCATTTACCATAGATGGTATGCCCTTAATCTTGTATGACACTATAATCATAACAATCAGGTGATAGGCATAATCAGTAACCTTCATTTATGAATAATTCTTTCTTTCTTTTTTTGTTCTCCTGGGTTTGTGCTTGCATGGAGATTGCATGGGTTTGTGGCTTGCATGGGGCTTACCAGCTGGGGGTAAATCAAAACCCAGTAACCAACCAGGACCCCGACAGGTCAAAAAAGTGAAGGCCACTATTTTACAACAGGGGACTAGGGAGGAAAGCAGGCAAACTGTCTGTCCACTAGATAGCCCCAAGGACACAATTGGGGTGGGTGAGCAGGAGGTGGTAACACCCACTCAGGTGGAAGAGGGGCTTTCCTGTCCAGAGAGCAGGTAATAGGGTGAACAGGAGGATAAGAGAACAGCTGATTATTGTTGAACTCTTCTAGGAACTTTACATGGATTAACTCCTTTAATACAATAACCCCAAGGGGTAGGTAAAGTTAGGGAAACTGAGGCATAGAGTGGTTTTAAAAAAGAATTATTCCAGGGGCTGGGGTTGTGGCTGAGTGGTAGAGCACTCACCTAGCATGTGCAAGGTGCTGGGTTTGATCCTCAGCACCACATAATAATAAATAAAATAAAGATATTGTGTCCAACTATAACTAAAAACTTTTTTTAAAAAAAGAATTATTCCAAATCACACAATTGGTAATCTGTGGCATCTTCTAAGTGCCAGATTCTTGACATGTATTACCTTA